TAATGATATTAAAAGATTAAGCTGACATTTACAGGATGGTACTCTTGAAACATTTATCAGGTTTTGGATGGTATTTTGTCCATGGAACTATCCATCCCTGATACTAACTAATCAGTTGATTGGACGTTAGTGCCAAGGAAGGAAAGGAAGGAGAGGCATCCCTATGGATTTTACTCCACTAGTCATTACCGAATCTAGGGGGCAGCGCTCATATCTGTTTCAAGGCCATGAGCCAACGCTGTCTGAAGACATTTCTGCGGTCATATGGCCAGCATGACATCACGGAGCATTGGGTCAAGTATAGACAGAAAAAAACAAGGGAGGATTATTCAGTGCAAGACTGGAAATCTGAATTGATGGCATTGGGTAACTCTTGTGGCATGATCAACTTCGGCACTAAGCAAAAATCATAAGCATTCAAAGAAGGCAAACAATAATAATATGATTCATATTTAGGTGATGATTAATGTTTCTCAGATTTATCCTCTGATCTTCCCAACCTCAGCATCAAGATATTCTTGCTAATGGTTTTTAATGCCATGTCCTCACATCATTGCCTCCATCTCACCCCCACACACATATTAAAGGGAGCTTCAAGGTCTCTTCAGTGGTTCAATTTTAAACTGTTCTGATATATTTCCCTTACCTCCAAGAAAGCATTTTCCCCCCTGTGAATCTGATCCAGAATGCTTCATTGATAACATGATTGATGTTATGGTTGAGTGTTGGCATCTGTGCAGCTTCTGTTGGCTATTTTAGGCTACTGCAGACCTGCCTGATCGACTCTGATTATTGGGCCTTGCCTGCTAGAATCATTTTGGATGGGCTGCAAGTGATTTAAGAAAGCGGAATTACAGAGCTGGAGGGGAGGTCTTTCTGTCCAACCCCCTGTACAAGCAGGAAACCCTACAATCTTTCAGACAAACGATTGTCCAATCTCTTCTTAAAAACCTCCAGTGTTGGAGCACCCGCATCTTCTGAAGGCAAGCCGTCCCACGAGTTGATTGTTCTCACTGTCAGCAAATTTCTCCTTAGTTCTAGGTTGCTTCTCTCTTTGATTAGTTTCCATCCATTCCTTCTTGTCCTGCCCTCAAGTGCTTTGGAGGAAACCAGATACTGTCAGCTGGATAGTGCTGGTTCTGTTCCAAATGAGCACCTTATAGATTTTCTGCTCCTTCTGCCAAGAAGGAATTCCACGTGGTTGTACTTTTTACTATTCCAATGGGCACAATTTTGTCTCCTCTACAGCTGCTGCTAATCACAGCCACTGACTATCTCCGTTACCATTCTTTTGCATGACTAGTCAAGATAGAAGCCTGTCCAGTATCAATTGTTTCCTCCAGCTTCACCCTGCCTCTCTCTTCCATTCTTGTGACCTAACAGCCAGGGTAGTTTTGGACGTGGATTTGGCACTTTCAGAAGAGATCTAGACACTTATATTTGGAACTAGCCCAGTTGGCAGGTAACAGGTGCAGAGCTCTTCCTTGCCTGTAATCTGTTGGAGAGGCAGCTTCACAGGTGGCTAAACCAGCCATTCTAAGGCCTGCCTGTTACAAGTTAAGAGCAATTGACTTCAGCTGGCACTGGTGAGGCTTATGGGAAGGGAAACAGACAGAAGACTCCACCAACAGGTTCCTTACCTTGACCCAGTCATGTACTACAAAAGAGCATTGGCCTCTTCACTGAATAGGGGGTGTCAGTGATAAAAGCAGTTCATTGGTTTTTAAGTCAATATATTTTTCTCTTGACTCACAAACAGAAGGATGGTATACTGAGTCTCAATCTGTGGTCCGTGGATCCCTGCGATGTTGTCACGGGCCCCACGAAGGCTTGAAGAAATGTTGTGATTTAAATCTTGAGTTAAGTCTTGGGGGCCTGTGGCCACAAAAGGAGGGGGGGTCCCATGGTAAAGAAAAGATTGAGAACCACTGCGATCTAGATAGCAATAGCAATAGCACTTAGACATATACTGCTTCACAGTGCTTTACAGCCTTCTCTAAACGGTTTTACAGAGTCAGCATACTGCCCCCAACAACCTGGGCCCTCCTTTTACCCACTTTGTAAGGATGGAAGGCTGAGTCCACCTTGAACCTAGTGAAATTTGAACTGCCAAATTGCAGTCAGCTGGCAGTCAACAGAAGTAGCCTGCAGTACTGCACTCTAACCACTGCACCACCGTGGTTCATAATAGACAGTCCTAAACCATGAAATTCCAGAAGAGGGGAAACCTACTAACCCTCCAGATGTTGCTATATTAAAACTCTCAACACTCCCAGCCCACATATGCAATATTTAAAAGCATGTTTAGCAACCTCCGGAGCCTCAGCTACATGGCTTCAGCTAATGCTACATGACCAAACTGGCAATATAGCCTTATCTAAACCTGGGATTCTAGAGCACAGCCTTAGGCATAGAAATAACAGGAACCTCAAATGGATTTTAGTTCTCAATTTCTAAATTGCAACGAGACCCATCAGACAACAAAGGAGAGGCTAGTCTTTTCCCTATGACCTTGAATCAATTTTATAGAAGGAATCATTTACTAATTTTAAAAGAAAGTTTCAAGCCTGGGATTGAAGTCTGTGCAAAGAAAGATGTTTCCAGGCTAGGAAAAAAAAGGCTCATGTCATAGTACATTTATAAAAATACAGATGTCACTTATTTTTTTATTTCCATTAGAACATCAGTTATTGTTAGACTCTTCTGAGCAACTTCTCAATTGTTCCATCCACACGATGGTAAAATACCATATGGACACTTAATACATTGAAGTAGTTTAGTCACATCACAATTCCAGAAGGGATCATCACTTTAATACAAAAGAAAGAGCCAAGTGAGCAAAGGGGACAGTAATATCAAGGTATGTGGATTCTTAAAATATACTCATTTCACACTTGGAAAACTCTGGAACCAAAAGATGAAAAGCTACACAAACATTCATTGAAATATTGCTAATATTTTAAACAAAACACTGGTTTAATAAAACCCAGGCAATAAAGAACATATATGGTTACCTGGGCAGAATTCTCTCTGATGTACACACATTCTATTTATCTCAACGGACATGTGTGCAAATGTGCATTAAAGTAATCCTTACAGTTTATTATGCATGAGAAATATAAAGCATTAAATGGAAGCTAAACAGCCACTGCAGGAAATTTAGGAAGGCTTTAGGTTAGCAGGTGTCACTTGACTAAAATAATCTTATTTCCTGTGACTTTGCTTGCCTTTTACTAGCGTGGCCAAAAACGCCAGCTGCCTAGCTAACAAACTGAAGGTGAATCTTACAGCTATATATGCAATAATTATTGTAGCCATATTTAAAAGATTTTGTGCTGAGCTCCTCTTTTTTCTTATCAAAGCCACAGTTACGCTTCTGCTACTAATGAAGAAAACTGTGGGCCCCTTCAGAAGAGTATCGGCCGTTATTGGGGATCTTGCCACAGGATTCCTATAAACCAACGTCTGTGGATTATTCTGACATAGAGGGTCCTTTGCTTAAACATTCATGAATCACTAAAAATGCATTCAGTATATAGTCAGATCACCATATAATTAATAAAGTTACTTTTCTATGAAAGTGAAAGGATTTCATTAGGCTTAAATCTAGTTTATAGCATAGTATCAGAATGTAGTACTAGAATTTGATAAAGTAAAATTATCGGCTAAATTATTGTTTTAAGGGCATATTATATAAATGTGGCAACTAATTCTTAATCTTCTCTTTGGCTCACAACTACACTGAATTACCAATAAACATTATTTAGAACTTTGTTAATTATATAAATAGGCTACAATACAAATGGAAGAAAATACAAGACAACTCTTTAGCATGGTAAATTCTTTGCATATAAAGAAGCAAATAGCTCATATAGCTAGAACTGAACAATTATTTTGCTGGAAAACTATTACATGTAATTCCTTTCCCACCCCCACCCCATTTAACAGTAATGTACACAATCTACACAAGTGAGTTTCTAAAAAATACATCAATATTATAATCTATTACAACAACTCAGCTACTACTATCCCCTGATATGACAGCTAAAGGGGTATACATACAGCTAAACTACTTATTTGGATTTGCTTTCCTCTTTCTTTTTCATATATTAGAGAAGCATCAATAAATAATGTTTAAATAACATTCACCATTTACCCATCGTTCCTAAGAATCTACATTTTAAAAATGTTTTCTTCCCCAGCATTACCTGGGAGCTTTATCACCTGTAAACTGGTTGTCATGTTACTTACTTCTTGATAGAAAATACTTAGAAAGAACAGGCCTCTTACACTCCAGTCTGAAAAAAATGCGACAATCTAACATGCTGGGTAAATTTATACCGATTTCAGTGGGACTTAAAAATATATCATACGGGGTTGGCTATGTCCATTCAAATTAATACAGAGTAAAGATATGGACTCCGGTATTACGGCTGATGATATTTCCGTAAAATCAGTAGGATCAATGCCTCAGTACTATACCTGAAATGGGAATGTTGGTCTATCATCTAGTGAATCTAGTGAAACCCCTTTGGTATTAATAGAGCTTCAGAAGATCAGTTCGTGATAGGAAACACCTGGAATGCTTACTATTGTTTATTTATATATTTTCTTTATATACATATAAAGTGTATGTTGTGTGTTATTTTGTTAAAATATGTCTACACACACCATACACCATCACACTGTACATATAGTGCAGATTTCTTAGTTATCTTAACGTAATTTGCTTTTGGGCAAACTAGAATTATCAGGCCTAACTAGCTGAACGATACATTTCAAAATAATAGGTTTATCCTTTGATGAAATAATAAATCAGTTCCTATATACTTTTCAATAATCTATGGAAGCGGGCACTATTGTTTTTAAAGAGAGGGTATCAGAAGAATCGAACACTTAGAAAGCGGTCATCTTAAAATGTATTCTACAGAACTGGTTAAAAAACAGCCAGTGCTGGAAAAGAACGCTCTAGAGAAAAACCATGGTTCAACTCATGTGGATTACAGATCTTGCCCCAGTCGTTCTATTTCTTCAATCAAGAAGTCAATATCTGACTTGGTGGCTGCAGGATTTGAGATCACCATTCTGAAGAAGTTGACTTTTTCTCCCTGAGGCTGATATCCAACCATGGTGGTACCTGTTTCCATCATCAGAGCTTTGATCTTGGGTGCCACCTTGAGATTCAAACAAGAAAGAAAAGAGGTTTGGAATTCAGATCTCCCTTTGAGGGAGAAGGCTAGCACATCAGCAAGGAAGCACGGCCTGATGTAGAGAAAATACAGAATGGACGAAGAAGGTATCGGTAGGTCTGATGGGCAGTCTTTCAATGTTCTCCTGAAGTTCTGGTATTTGCAAGGCCAACAGAGCGGGAGAGCGCCAAGATATGGAAGACAGCACTGATGGCACCTTGTTGCTTTTATTTTTAATATTTCTATAGAATATAACCAAGTTACGAAGCTACACAAAACAATATGACCATGTACTTCCATGCACTTATTTCCTCTCCTGACAAAAATCAATATTCATTGTGGTCATGGAGGACCTCACGCCCAAACACTGAGATAGGGTAAAATATTTTAGTACTTGGGGCAGAAAATCCACCTAGCAGATTTGGTGTGAGTAAAAGGACATAAATAAATAAAATCAGCAATTTGCTGGTTTTTAATGGTTCTGACAAAAGTCTTGGCTATAAAATTAAGAAAATAGATTCAGGGCAAAATAAGCAGAACCTCATCCCTAATACAGATGAGCTAGAGTGATTATTGGTTTGTAATTCAATTGGATAATAACACATCTAACTTTGTAATATCCCTTCTGTTGCTTATTACTAAACAATAATGCAATTCTCTGTCTCATACAAGAGGCTCATTTTAAAAGAAACAAGAGGCTCTTCATTGAACATGTGAATTTCACACTCATCTCGTCAACACACTCATAATTCGTTGGATACGCCTACATAGTAGATCTACAATACTTAATGCTTTCTACACAGAGTTCCCTGGAAGAGAATTTGAAGCATTCAGAGCACATGGACAATGTATTGCTTTTTGTACTGCAGTCGGCTTATTTCAGGGTAGTTCAAAAAGCCTACATCACTTAAAGCAGTGGGGGCTAACCTTTTTGGGCTCCTGTGCTGATAATTGTGTGTGCTTGCATGCGCACACTTGCATGCCAGCACCCAGACAGCAATGGGGTGGGGTCCCCCCACGCCCCCTGAGCATGTATGTGCACCCCCCCTGCACACTGCGCAACTCAGTGCATGCACGTGTGACCCCCGCGCTGTGCAACTCTGCACGTGCATCTCCCATGCCCCCCTGCCCCCCACACATGCGTACTAGATACCCAACAATCAGCTGTTTCAAAGGTGTAAGTGGAAAGAGATAGCTGAGGCAGTTTCTAGTCAAGATTTGTAAATCAACAAAGAAAACCAAGCCAATAGCACTGAAAGTTTTCAAAAGGGCAGAATTAGGAGGGGAAAAGAGAGATAGTTGTCACCCTGTCATTCCTTCGATATACTCCAGACAAGTAAGTGATACCATGAGTATACAAGGTTATAGTAAGAAATTCTTGTATGTTTAAAAGCGGTTCTCCCTTCCCTTGCCTTCATTTTCTAATGAAGGTCCCTTTTGAGATGCTTCTTTCTGTGGGCTGATATATCTCTCTAGTCTCCTTCTCCGGGGGTGGGATTCAAATTTTTTAACAACCGGTTCTGTGGGGGTGGCTTAGTTGGTGGACGTGGCTTGGTGGTCATGTGACTGGCTGGGTGTGGCCAACTCAACATCACTCACACTGAGGCACACATCTCCTCGCCTGTCCTCTCATGACTGTAGGGATACTGCAACAGTCATAAGTGTGAAAAATGATCATAAGTCACTTTTTTCAGTGCCATTGTAACTTTGAATGGTCACTCCACACAAGCAAAGTACCAGCAAAGGAGGAGGAAAAAACTCCAGAGAAGTTCCTGAGACAGGAAGACTAGTCCTGCCAGGAATGTAATGAGGGTTAACGGAGAGGCAGTTTCTGTAAGCAACACCAGAATGTTTTCTTCCTGGCTTCCTTACAGGATTAGGCCAGTAATTTCTTCTAACAACTGGTTCTCTGAACTGCTTAGAATGTTAACAAGCAGTTCTAGAGAATAGGTGAGAACCTGTAGAATCCCATCCCTGTCCTTCTCTCTGAGAAGGAGAAGGAGGCACAGGCCTTGCCTCTGAATTGCTCAACTCATTTCCATTGGAGCCTTTCAATCTTTTTGTTTTCTTAGATACTGTAAAGGTCTTAGTTTATATATTCTGTTTTTTAAGCAATTATTTCATTTTCTTAACATTGTTTATCATTGTAATGTACATTGACTCAGAACATTTTTTTGTAAGTGTTTTACAAATTATAATAATAATAAAAAATTACCCTATGTAGTTTTTCTCTTCTTTCTTCAGAGTCTGGCATGCCTCTGAGACTTGGCGGAATGTACCAGAAACAAACGTTTGTGTGTTCAGGCTATATATCATAAAACGAAATAAGCAAAGATTTTTAAAAATCACAAAGGCAGTTCATGAAGATACTCATCAAGAGGATTAATTTTCCTCGCTTATAAAGTTACTTTGTTTGCCATGCCTTCTGATTTTGTCCTTCAAAGTTTAAAAGAATGGAGCAAAATGGAAGTGAATGTGCCCTAAAGCACTTAGAACCTCACTGACAGACAGGCAATTTGCACAGGAACAAATAGAGATATTTTCCAATCCGTCACCACTGTCTTTACCTTTTTCTCCAGATTATTCTCATAATAAAAAATTCATGGGAAATATAAACAGTCCATTTGGAACGCCACCTTTGGATTGACAATTCTGTTCATGCCTGACCATAACCTTAAGACAGGGATCTCAAAATCCTGCAGAGGCTCAGTCAAGCAGAAAGCCATTTCAGCTAGGATTCAAACCATTGAACAGCATGTTTTCCTTTACTTAAATAACAAATAATAAGCAGGCCACTAGAGTGGAACAAAATACATTTCAAGGCTTTAGTGATAACACCTTTTTCTAAGGGTTATGAATCAATTGAATTTCAGCATTATGTGCCTCAGTGGCTTCAATTGATTTCATATTCTTCACCTGTCTACCAGATATTAAAAAGATAAAATCACAGTAACAGGGCTGGATGGAATTTTTTTTGTATTGCAAAAATGTATAATTGAATTAAAAGTATTTTACGGTCTACGACTTACCTCTCCTTCAAAAACCATCTCAAACTCTTGCCTGTTTTTAATTTTATTATAGAGGTATTCTGACAATTCAAGACATTTGTTGATTTGACTTTCAAATCCCACTGTACCCTATTTTGAAAAGAGGGGGAAAACAAATAATTCAATCTCATATTCTTTCTGCATCCTGTAAATAGTTTGGCGAGTAAATCTTGGAAATTTGGAGTCAAACTATTTATTTCTTTTGTTAACCAAAGCTGAACAGCAATGAAATATGGAATATTTGTAAATGTATGTATGGAACAACTTCATTTTAATCTTTTAGAGTTGTCCATACTTTGGCCTTTGTGTGAACAAAGTACCATTTTGCTATTCATTAAAACATCTTTTTTAGGCTTTTGCTTGAGCCCCCCACCCCCCACCCACCCAAAAAGAGATATGGCTAGTAAAATAGAATAATCAATTATACACAAAATATAGGCAGAATAAGAATTACGGTCCAAATTTCATGAATTGTTTTGCTTAGATATTAATTTCATGAATTGTTTTGCTTAGATATTAATTTCTTCTTCTCCCAAGCTTTTTCACCTGGGAGATTTCAATATTTAAATCAACAATATGCTTAGGTTTATAGGAATTTAAAGCTGTGTTGAACAGGTGGGAATTGACTTCTGGTTAAGCTTCCATAGAAATGTTCTGCATTTTGCGGATGATTTACCTTAGCTTTCCACATCAACCAGAATTTGAATATATCCACATGGCGTCCACATTGTATTGCTTTGTCTCCAGTGTCATAGGTGATATCATATTGCTTATCTTGTTGAAACAGATATCCGGCACACATCTGGTTGCAACCTTGAAGTATACCCTGTTATAAAAAAGCATGCCTGTTGAACATATGTGAAGCAAGAGATAAATGCAGTGCTGCATGCATTAAACATTACTGCGTATGTGTCTGCTTAAGCTTTTAAAATTGCTAAATCCTCTTATTTTTCTAAATCAGTAGAAAGTCCCAGAGACAACACATTCCATCCTGCAGCCCCATTTTTTTCTCTGCTTTTTGTAGCAGAAGAGATCCCAATTCCAATCAATCCCAGAGGACCTCACAGCACAAAAAATCCAGTTGGGAAACACAGATGTCAATTATCTATATGATATTTTACTTAGACTCCAAAGTCTGCCGTATAGTACTGAGAACATATCAATGGCCCCTTATTTGAATTTTACATGTGTGGTAAGGGAGCATTTCTTGGTCAAATGCTAAAGACCCAACAGCTAAGAATGAACACTAGAGGAACAACACTCATCTTTTCAGAATCATTGTGGTTAACTATGCTACCCTCAAGGTTGTGGGCATAAACATCTACCACCAAGAACCTTAATTCCACTCCTGTAATTGACACTCAGGAATGTCCCAACAGGAAAGGATTTGTTGCAGCTCCTATATGGTAGATTAAAGGAAATAGAGGGAGTGAGCATTTAATTAATGAAGCATTAACCTTTTCCCGAAGAAGAATGGCAGAACATTGCAGTAGGACTCCCATCATCTTGTGTGGATTCCATGTGACAGAATTGGCTCTGCAAATCAAAGGAACGTGTTTAGAAGCTATTCACTAACATCAGGTAGGAGCAATCTGGCACCAGTGATTTCAGGGTAACCTGCACATCCACAATGGAGGTTATACCATAACTAAAATATGTCAAGTGGATTAATTAAAAATCAATAACGCCATAATTAATGTATTTTATAAGGTTGGATAACTATCGGCCTCCTGAGGAGATCAAACAGAAAACATAACAAAATTAATGAATCCTACTTTATTGTAAGACTACAGTTTGAAAGCATGTAAATAGCAATAGCACTTAGATTTATATACCACTTCACAATGCTTTACAGCCCTCTTTAAGTGGTTTATAGAGTCAGCATATTGCTTCCAACAATCTGGGTCCTCATTTTAACAACCTTAGGAGAATGGAACGCTGAGTCAACCTTGAGCCTGGTGAGACTCGAACTGCCAAACTGCTGGCAGTCTGAAGTAGCCTGCAGTACTGCATTCTGACCACTGTGCCACCAAGGAGTAGATATTTAGATACCACTTTGGTGGGAGGGTAACAGCATTCTGTGTGCCTTTGGCCTATAGCCATGCTGGCCACATGACCACAAAAGTGTCTTGGGACAAAAGTGTTTTGGGACCACAAAAGTATCTCTCTCAGCCAAGAAACAGAGATGAGCACCGCGCCCTAGAGTCGGACACGACTGGACAGGGAAACATTTATCTTTACCTTACAACATGGGTGTCAAACTCGATCGCGTCACGGGCTGGATCTTAACTTTTTTTGCCTTTATGGAACCAGGGTGGACGTGGCCTGTGTGTGACATATCCAGTCCACGGGCAGCCTTACAATAGCAAAATCTTGCAAGTCTAAAAGGATAAACCTCCTGTTGTCTCTTTTTAATGTCTGATAAGTTAGGGTGGGTTTTTTCTAAGTTTCTTTTTTTGCCTGTTGTCCAGCTGCAGTCTTCCCCCTTTTATCTGATCATTCCCTAGGCAGCATCTCTTCCCCTCCTTTCCCAGGGTCATTTGTAATGGTTGCGGCATCCTGTGCCATCCTTACGATGGCCATTTGAGGTCTTCCTAGCTGGCTTCCAACAAGCAAAGTCAATGGGGAAGCTAGCAGTCAAAGTTGCAAGTTGTTGTCATGTGGTGTTTCACTTAACAATTGCAGCAAAAAGGGTTATGAAACCAGGTGCTCATTTGATGGCCACCCTGCCTAATGACAAATGTATTGATCCTTATTGTGGAGTAGCTATACGAATAAGGTAACATATTTCATTCTTTCAGGTAGCCTTAGACCTTCTTTGGAGTTAGCTGACGACACTTCTATTGATTTTGGAAGAGCTAAGAAGAATGAATATAGATAGTTGATATAAAGAGGTTTTCCCCCAAGATTCAGCTGGAGGACTTACAGAATAGAAAGATGATTCCTTAGGTTTTCAAGAGGGAACTGTTGTGGATGCATTTCTAAATATGGATATATTGTTTGCAAGAGATTCTGGGTGAAAATATAAGAACTGAAAATCCAGGAAATACCGACACTGTATCTTATAAGAATCTCTCTTAGGTATTTCTTAATAGTATAAGGCTTAAACATCCCTTTGATCAGCTGGTACTTTGAGGAAATGAAAATTGCCAGACTGCTATTAGAATTGTGTCCATAAGAGGGCTCTCTCAACAATTAAATTAGTGCCTCAGCTTACCAGCGGAAAACTGACAGTAATTAATCGGCATTCATTATACCATCAGCTTATCATTATTGTCTCTTAAATAGCAAAATTAATCCTAAAAGAACAGCTGCCCTGAATATATTTTCCATCTTTGGACAGCTTGTCATATTGCTTCCCCCACAAAATAAAACTGCTTCAAGGCTCTGCCACTTTATATGCAATCATATGTTCATTTCAACATTTTGGTCTTCGTACTGCAGCAACTTAGCACCAAGTAGGTCCCCAAATAATTCTAGTTAACTATGATCTAGTCCGCAGGTTGAAGACATTTTTGCAGCCCATTTTTCTTAGATATGTTTATCCCATTCAAATCATGGTTCACATATGCCAGTGAACACAATATTCATAATGACCACAGATTTTGCAAAACAGAGGTTGCTGAATTATAACCAGCACTGAGAGGATGGTGGAGGAGGTGGAAGGCTGGGAGTTGTAATTCAAGTCCAACAACATCTGGGAAATCTCTTCCATTCTTGTTGGGGGTTGGGGGAAGAGAATGCTTATGCTGATATATTTATAAAAAGTCATTTTTTTTCCCTGCAGAATTTAAAATTATGTACCTTTCAATACCGTTCAGCTTGTGACGATGCTTTCTAGACATAAGTAACCCACCTCCCCAGGCAGCCTGGAAAAGATGAGAAAAATTGGTAAGCTTCAGGAATTGAATTGGGAACTTGAAATATTTTTAAAGATACTTAATTTCAGCAGAAAATTCACTGTAATAATTCTCCCTAGAGAAGGAAATGTGGACCTATTTTCCACAATCTTAGTCATGCAATAACTTGCAGAGCAATGCAATAATTTATGTGCATTATAATGCTCTAACCCAGGGGTCTTTAAACTTGACAGCTTTAAGACTTGTGGACTTCAACTCCCAGAATTCCTCCTTCAGTCATGTTAGCTCAGGAATTCTGGGAGTTGAAGTCCACAAGTCTTAAACTTGCCAAATTTGCTCTAACCAACAGATCCCTACTCAAAAGTCTAGCTCACTGGCTGAATTCACATGACATATCTGATTTATGGTAAATGATGTGCATGATGATCCTGCAGGCCATCTAATTCGACATAGTTTCCCTAGCTTAGTCATACTGGTTGGTTAACTGCCTTAGATAACATTTTTGCAGTGATTGGTAGGTTTTTTTTAATTTTCCACTTTGTTTTTTAAAATTGTTGTTTTAAAGTGGTATAATAAATATAAAGCTTAGCCTCGTGTCAACTGCCCTGTTTAAGCATGACCCCCACACCAACCCACCCACCCAATGGGTTAAAAGGAAAAAAAAACTGGGATAATCTGACTGGCATTGACTTATTTGCAGAGCTGTTGTAGTCTGTCATCTCTGTCTAGAAGCTGACAGGGGAGTTTAAGTTGCTGAGTAGTTAACACTGGATAATTTGGACACGATCCTATCTTGAAATGATTGGGACATAACTTTGCATAATACAACCGATTTTGCTAAGAACGTCATGCAAACATAGCGATTGTGTTTAATGGGCTTTATTTCCAAGTAAAATGGATTGGGATTATGCAGCCCTGGTTACTTACATCCACATGAAGCCAAAGATTATACTTATCACAGATGTCTGCAATCTCTGGAATAGGATCAAAGGCTCCATAAACGGTTGTACCAGCAGTTGCAGTCACATAAAGGGGAATATATCCCTGTAAAGAAAAACAGAGAAGAAGCTCTATTGTGAAATACATTTTTTTTCAATTGAGATTCACACTAACTTAAAGTACAACTGATCCCAAGTTCTTTTTAATTGGTGCATGTTCTTTCTTTGACTTTTCCCAAGACTAAAACAGGTTATCAAAAAAATACCTAATAATTAATCGTCAATTGTAAAGGCAGCAATGCTCTGGAAACACATTGAATAACTGCAAGTATTTTCAGAGAATACACATTATCATCCTTTTACCAGGACGCAAGATCTTTCTGCATTTGCTGCAAATTAAAAAAAAATACCAAGTATTGGTACTTAACCTGGGTCTCTTGGCTCCCTAGCTTCTTTTATATCTCTCCACTATTTTAGTGTAAGAATATGAAAACTAAACATAGCCATTTTAAGGCTACATAAGATGGGAAAAAGTGCATTGGTGGGGAAGGAATCAACTGAAAAAAATAGATGGGTTGAATTAAAAAATTGGAGATGGGGATTTACTCTGGATGACACTGCTTTACTCTTACCACATTAGATAGTCCTCAGCTTACAACCAATCATTTAGTGACTGTTCGAAGTTACAACAGCATTGAAAAAAGTGACTTATGACTGTTTTTCGCTCTTATGACCATTGCAGAACCCCCAAGGTCACATGGACAAAATTTGGGTACTTGGGTACCATCATGTATTTATGATCACTTGCACTGATCACCATTTATAATATTTCCAGTTGACTTCCGATAAGCAAAGTCGATGAGGATGATGAGGATGATCAGGATGATATTTATTTGCTTCTCATCTCACTTCAAAGAAATTCTGGGCGACTTACAAAAGTCAGTGGGGGAAGCCAAATTCATTTAACAACTATAGTGATTTGCTTCAAAACTTGGGCAAAAAAAGGGTGCAAAATGGGGCAAAACTCACTTAACAATGCCTTGCTTAGCGATGGAAAGTTGGGGCTCAATTGTGGTCCTAAATAGAGGACTTCCTGTAAACATCTTGTTTTCTGCACAATCCAGAATATCTAAACGCGACCTTCAGTCAAATCTGTGCACTCGTGATGTAAAGCAGGGATGTTCTACTTCTACCAACCTAGCAGTCATACAGTACTTGGTTTCACATCATGTTGTATTGAAGACTCTGGGCTTGAGATAGTTCAAGAGTACCTCAAAAGGTTTCCAGCAGGAGATGAGTGAGCCCTGACCACGTTTTTGACACTCTTGAAGTAAATTGTAACCTTAAGTGTATGAGATGTATAGTAAATATACTGCTCCTTTTTTACACCAAAATTGTGATAAATCTTAATGGAAGTGAGAACTTATAAGAAGTTGGTCTCATGAATCTCACTGTGAGACAACTGTAATAATGATACACTTGGCAAAGAGAAAATAATCACATGAGTCCATTCAAAGAGGAATGAAATATACAAAGGAAGGGACATTACTATGAGAATTCTTGTCTTAGTTTACCAGTATTTTTATAGGGTGAATTGGCTAAAAAACAATTATATGTTCTAATCTTCAATTATACGTAATAAAATTTCAAGAACCCCACGAGAACTTTGCTGAAGGATCAGGATAATTTTTTCTAGAATTTGACTTATAACGTGGAATAAGTTCCCTATGGAAATTCACATGTGGAAAATGGAGTGGACCATTTATGCTGCTTAGTGTCTATGGAGATTCTCAATCATCCAGGTCATGATTGTCCAAAAGATGCTTTTTCCAAAAGGCAGCTAGGCTTTCTTATTTTCTTTTCCTTTGCAAACATTTAACTTCTCATCCAAGAAGCTTCTTCAGTTCCAGCTTATGCTGCTGAGCCTATTAGTTCTTATGATTAACCTGCCTTGAATATGATGGATGAAGAATGCAAGCTGACACACATTCATGTAGAAGTAAGTGCTACTGTGTCCAAATTGTAAATATATTCTAAATAAAAGAAAAAAATTAAGTAGATCTTTTCCTCTTTTTTTAAAAAAAATACCTTTTGTTTGGCATCCAGGATTTTGGCTTCTAGATCAGCAGGTATTATTTTGCCCCTGCAACCAAAGTGAAATGTGAAAGCCAAATCTGACATACGAGAAAGAAGAACGAAAAAAGGACTAAACAGAAATGAAACAAGCCACAACAGCAGGGCATTCACTGATGCTGTTATTATGTCCTTAGCATTGTTCCAACCTGAACATAAACACAAAGACACCCAGGTAAAGATGTACAAATATCTCACCTTTCATTGCACTTTATTAAAATCACATTTTCAGTACCAAATCCAAGCGCAGCTCCAGCTTTCTTTATTGAATAGTGACTCTGAAACAACAATCAATAGATAATTAATGTCAAATTGCTATGATTGCCTTTGAATTCCAAAATGTTAAGGAGAAAGAAGGGAATGATAGACTCTCCAGAATAGGGATGATGACAAAAATCACAATATCCAGTCATTGCAATCATGTTAATTGAAATTATTGAACTCACATGTTCTGAGGTAAAAAGGACCAGTTTAGGCACTGCGGACATGCCTTTGGTTTTGACTTCTGGAAAGTATTTATAGCGGGCAGCCATGATGCTATACATATTGGATATAGCGCCACCTATAATGAGAGGAACCAACAATAGAGTATTAGGAACGTGAAAATAAGAAGTCTGATACAGTTCTATGACAAATGTATAAACGGTATTTGTGAACTATGTTGCAAATGTAGCCAAAAAAGCATCAATATCCAATGAACCAATAGATAAAAGTTAATGATAATCACCTCTGTTTTAAATAAGGCTAACTCTCCAGTTTTATGAATATTACCTTTTCTTAAGGTAATATTTGCAAAAACTTCAAATTCAATCACATTCCTCAGGAAGTGGTGGGTCCAATTGTTTTGTGTTATTTTGAATATTGTCATGGTTACATGCAAACAAGAACATTTTTACATTTCTATTAAAAGACAAGTATATTAAGGTTTTAGTTAATATGGTATTTTGACTATCAAGAAAGGTTAGGAAAGTTAACTTTGCTAATGTTGAAGACTACAATAATTAAAATACACAATACTAAAAGCATAGAAAATCAGTCACCATATATCAGTATATATAATGTTAGCCTCCTTTAATATAAGTAAGAAGATTAAAAACCTAAAAGTTACGCAAGTTATAAAATAAGAGAATGTCCTTTGCTTGGCCTCTGAAGGAAAGTAATTTAGAGACTGAAAGCCAAAAGTCAAAAAGAGTCTAGTACCACCTTTGCAGAATAACCAAGTTGAATTAAAAAGCATTAGCTTTTCAGAGTTACTGTACTGAGTTACATACAATAGGTCTAAGAGCATACAGACTATCTGCTTATGTTCAGTTGGTGACTGGGCTTTGCAGCATTACCGATCACCTAGGTGCTAGAGACAACTTGTTAAGGATGGAGTGCCTGGAAACCCTGTATGGACTTTTTGCTGAAATTAGAAAAAAATGAATGTGTGATTTATGGGTTAGAAGATTATAAAGGGTAGCTTATGAAAGAAGGAAATTATGATGTAACCTTAGAAGACAAAGAAGGTAAAATATTCATGCAACCACTGTCAAAAAGATTGGAAGACCCTTTTTAATGATCATTTCTATTTCTATTTTCTTTCTTATTCCCTATCCTTTTCATTTTCTTTCTTTTCTAATATTTGCTTTGGTCTTATTTTGTTAAACATTTATTCAATTTTTTTTTTTAATGGAATGAAACCTACCAGGTGAGAATATTCCATCGCCATCTTTATTGGTCCATCCAATAATCTCTCTCATTTTTCGAAGTGTTATTTGTTCCATGAGTACAAAAACAGGTGCAATCTCATATGTAAACCTGTGTGTAAAAAACATAAATGAATACAGGTAGTCTTTGACTTAAAACAGTTCACTTAGTGACCATTCAAAGTTACAACGGCACGTAAAAAAGTCACTTGTGACCATTTTCCACACTTACGACCGTTGTAGCAATCCCACGGTCATGTGATCAAAATTCAAATGCTTGGCAACTGGCTCATATTTAAGAGAGCTGCAGTGTCCCAGGAGTCATTTTGCAACCTTCAGACAAGCAAAGTCAATGAGGAAACCAGATTCACTTAACAACTGTATTACTAAATTAACAACTGCAGTGATTCACTTAACAACTGTGGCAATAAAGGTTGCAAAATGGGGCAAAGTTCACTTAACAAATGTCTCACTTAGCAACATCAATTTTGGACTCAGTTGTGGTCATAAATTGAGGACCACCTGTAAATATTTTTACTTGGCAAAACGCTGGTTTTCTATTTCTCAAACATAATTATTATCTAACAGAGAGAGTTATGAAAACAGTATCCTAACATGATCAGAAAGCTACTGAGAAAGAAAATTAGAAACACTAAACTTGAGCTTTAAAAAAGTCATTTTTATGGGAATGTATTTGGCCTTCTCCAAAGAGAGCTAATTATAAATGCCACACTATCAATACCACTCAGCAGTAATTAAAAAGGTCGATATTCTAACTACTAATTACAGATAACAGAAGGGTAATTCACTGTTTTGTCCATTTAGTACAAAACATACCCATAGCATATCGTTTAATACAGTATATCGCATATTTCCCCCATGTACCAAAATTCCCACATAAAGCCATTTCGTTCTCTTTGAGGATCAAGGACAGGCTAAAGAAGAACCACTCTGGGTATGGAGTAGAAAGTTTTCCTTCATTAAGGTTGCAGCAGAAGACTATTACGTCTCATTTAAACTGTACTGGAAATAAACCAAAGAGAAACTAATTGCCGTAATATAATTCTTCCATTCTATTGGGTAACAAAGATTGCAATGAGCCCTGTCAGCTATTACAGCAAGACAGTAAATGGTTATGCCTCAACAATTAAAATAGTATGCAACTTTGGGAGGAGCTGCCAAACTTCAAGGCTCATAACACTGGAAGATACCATTTAAGCCAATGCTTATACTTGCAGCCAGAACATAAACAACACTTCCAAAGATGATGCACATGAACCTATGGATATAACTCATTTTGAATGTACACCAAAAGGGGAATCTATGACCAATCACAACTTTCTGGGCAAATGATTCGATAGGACTCCTATGAAATATAGAACATTGTGCATTCCTATGGTATTAACACATTGGATTTACTTTAATGTTCAATAATGAATCAATTAATTACCTTGGCGTACCACAAAGCGAGCAACAATTGCAATAATAAAGCAATAAAAGGAACACAGTGCTGTGACACAGTCTATGATTTAAAAAGTCAGCAGTTGTAAATACGCAACATAACATGAAAAGGTAGACTGAAGGATGCCGAACAAATCCTGCTGAAACTCCAGCAAGGTGGCCCTCCTGATACCGCAACCTCCAAAGGAAGGACAGGATTTATTCTGTGTTGAGCATCAATCTTAAGTGACACAATGTTGGGACAAATATAAGGCCATGGAAATCAAAGCTGGAAATCCTGCATATTTTGTATTTCATTCAACAATACCTGGCACATTTTCTATTCTCTAGTCTTGGCCTTTCATTTACTTAGGGATCATTCCCGCCCACCCGTTGGATGGTTTTTCTTTTTTTTTTTCTGTTTCTTTTTCCATTCTCCATGGTTACTGTGGAAGCAGCGGCAACCATTTTAACTTTCCCAGAAAGCTCAGCAAAATGTTTGCTAGTACAAAAAAAAAAAAAAAAAAGAGGTCATGTTCAGTGACTGGGTTGGTTCAGCTTCCATTCTGCAGAAGTGGAAGGGAGGGGAAATAACAGCCATCAAAAAGAGATCAATATAAGAACCCTCCTCCTTCTTGGAGGGGCGGGGTGGGGGGGCACAAAAGTTCCTTTCATTATCAGTGACAAGGAAATGCATTTGATTGTTGCTCCGGGTTGTTTCTCAAGCCCATCTCAACCATTGCATCGCTTAGAGATGTTCCCAGGGAGGGAAAGAGGTGGGTAGAACGCAGTTGCCACTAACAGCTGCCATTTTAATTTTCATTCCTTGAGTGACAGTGAAATGGATGGGGCTGGCCTTAGGGGGAAGATGCTGCAAGCAGCAATGGCAGCCCCCCAAGCTGTCAGTGGAAAGAGTGGCATACTCCACACAAACAAATATGGGACCTCTGAACTTGCCGGCTATGGAAGGAAGGGTGGGGGCTTGTTCCATCTTTATGTTGAGCATGCCCTGATTTCCCCCCCCCCCCCCCCCCCGGCCATATGCTGGAATTATGTAATGTTTATCTGGGAAGAAAACAGTAGCCACAAGAACAGTCTGTTAATGTGCGTTCTGTTGCTGCTGTCACTGCAGGCAACAGGGAATAAGAATGAAAAACAGGACCACAAAGGGAGAAAGGCTCTCCAAAGGGAACCAAGCGCTGAATGGCCTTTTCACAAAGAAATGAAGCTCCCAGCAAAAAAGCAAATTAAACTTATCAAGGGAACTAACATCGTTTCAAAGAACAGACATGGCCGCTCTATTATGTATGCTCAGCGTATCGTCTTTCTTTCTTTCTTTCTTTCTTTCTTTCTTTCTTTCTTTCTTTCTTTCTTTCTTTCTTT